TTTGTTACTGGCTTCTCTATTATCTATCTGTATTATCTGTCTTTTATTTATTGGCTTATACAGAAATGGGTATGTGTGTTTGAAAAAGAAAGATAGATCATGGTCTGATAAACTATAGTAGAGTAACATCTTCCAGGTCTTCTATATTTGTTTTACTATCTCTCTAGACATTACGTAGAACTTCCAATTAAGCTAAATTCGTAACTTTATTTTAATTGTAATTAAGTGTAGGTATGTTTTCATGACATTCTTAATATTATACTTTATTTTATTAACGAGAAAACAGCGTTAACATGTTAGATATCGGTGTATTCTTGTAATACTAAGCCTTGTAGGAAACAGATATGTGCGTTGGTTACCGCTTCCAAAAAAATTACACAAAAATATATTTCAATTAATTAATAAAAATTAACAATCGACTTATACAAACAATCAATTTGAAAGGTCCCGTTCAGGCGGGTGCTTCATATTTCGCAGCCCATTCAAAATGTTCAGTCAGTCTCATTCATATTTACATTGCTCTACAATGTTTTTTTTGAATGGCACTCTCACTGCAGCTTGCAGATTTTTATGTCGACTCTACGAAGTGGTCGTCATTCAGAAGCATTACATGTAAACAAGTACAATTACATTTTCTTTAAATCCTTAAAAATATTATATTTAGCTTTAAATTCAAAGAAAAATAGGTTAAAGCCCGGTATATATTCATATTTATAAGCTAATAATTTCTTCTGAAAGCTTTTACAATACCTACAATCCAGTCTTAATTTAAGTCATTATTATTAGCTCTAAATGAAAAAAATCCGGTGAATTTTTAAAAAGAAACGAAAGACTGCGGCCGTCTACACCATCAACAATTGACACTTGATTGACGCACTTCGAACGACACGGAATTAAAATTCTATCAGGCGTCTTTCGACATGATAAAACGCTCGGATTGTAATGAATAAAAAATAATGTAGGACAAGGAAATGGTAGAATTTAGATTTTTTTTGTCATTAATATAAGACAACGGAAGTGTCTATTTAAACATAATATTTGTATACAAAATTACTGTAAATTTAAAATGTATTAAATGTTGACGAAATATTATTTTCTCATGATTGCTAACGTTTTATATTGTGGTATTCGCTTCATCGAATATCACGAGGCGGGAACAATTGAATGGAACAACGGATCTATTGCAACCTTATTGGTTTGTTGTCTAATTGCTTTATCCTGTGCAGGCTAACGTTTTCCTAACGTATAAACGTTTATCCTATCTAGAGATCGATTTGCCCTATAGGATTTTATCCCATTACATCGATAGATTGTATGGAAATGAAATGAGATTGTATAGATCAACGAAAATCTTAAAATATGTCGATAACTAAACTATCATAGTAATATTATAAATGCGAAAGTTTAAATAGATGGATGTTTGTTAGAGTTTGTAGCCTAAACTGCTGAACGGATTTTGATAAAACTTGGTATAGATGTAGAGGATAGTCTGAAAGAACACATAGGCCACTTTCTTTTGTTTTATTTTATTCCACGCGAATGGAGTCGCGGGTGAAACGTAGTAATTTATAAACGTTTTCAACTATATCTTTGTATATTGTTTTAAATATTAACAAGTTATTTGTAAGTAGGTTTTAATTTGCTTTATAAATCTAGAGTATGTGTTTCGGAAACTGTTTTATAATATACGGCAGCGTTGTAACTGAACGCAAGATGGAGCAATTAGGGAGCCGACCGGTAAAGCTTTAATAGGAATGTCGTGTGCAACACAATCCAATTGTGCCAGCCCGCTGTTGTTCAATAAACCGTGAATTGAAAACTAAAGTTATGTTCTAACTGTTAAAATAACGCAATATTTATTTAAGAATAGTATACATAGTGTTTTCACTACTTTTATTAGGTAAAAGAAAAAAAATCAAATTTTGCATGTTAAGACAATTATATAGAGGCCAATTAAAATTTTTTAAAATAATTCTTTTTAAATTGAAGTAACAAAAGGGGCATATTGTTATTATAGGTGGCCAATACTGTCAAAAGGATCTAGACTGGTAGTTTTGTTATTTAATGATGAACAGAAGATTCACAAATTTCATCCTGGGTATTAAAGAAACCTAAAGACCTGTGCCACCAAATTGTAAATTGTCTGGTAAGAATCCAACGTGTAATAATGTGATGGAAATATCGGATTTCGTTCCCTTATCTGAGTGTGACGTCATTTTTAAGCTATCTGAGCCTGTATCAGCCAGTGGTAGGACAGAATTAAATCTCTTAACTTAAAATAATACGGTAAGGTAAAGTGATCATAAAATATATTAAATTGTTGCCAATTTCAATGAAGCGTAAAAGAGCTATCGGCTACCTGTGGAGACTAATAGATTAATTATCTGGCAGTCTGTCAAAGCTGCCGGAGTCATTAGTGATCGTTAATTCCCTACAGGGCCTAGAAAATTAATGGTCTATGTCGCTAACAGTGAACCATATGAAAATTGTACACGTAGAATTTATCTCGTGATTTACAATAACTTTATACATGATTTTATTATTATTTATTTACATTAAAGAAAAGTTATTTTGTTTCCCCACGCATTTGTCATGTATTTACATCAAAAATTTGTATAGAAATACCTATTGACAAACTGTTCATTTTTGCCTGTGACGTCCGCGTAGAGTTAAAAAAAAAAGTAAGCAGCCTATGTTGTTCTTCCAGACTATCCTCTACATCTGTGCCAAATTTCATCGAGATCCATCCAGGTGTTTAGGCTACAACTCTAACAAACATCCATCCATCTATCTAAACTTTCGCATTTGTAATATTAGTATAAATGAACAATACAACAAAAATGTTTTCCTTTTCTGTACTATTTATATAACACAGTGCATAAAGAATTAAGCAAACGTTATTTTAATTTTCTCATAGTTTTGAGTTACGTTTCGAGCTCCGGAGCAAACGCAGTTAATGAGTTTAAAAATCTCATTGTGCGCTCAATGAGCGAGTGTTTCTAAGAACATTGCCAGGAATTACAAGTACTATTGTAGAAAATTGCACTTTACTATTAAAAGCTAAGTGAATTTATTTTTAATTTTAATTATAATTGTCTGGTAAACTTAGTACTACGTAAACGTTAAATGTTCTGACATAATTAGATTTGTCAGTTGCATTGTCAAAATTAATCTAATTTAAACATCAAATGTACATAACTTAGAGCTTGCGCACACTTTTGAGTAAACTATCGCACAACTATTTAATGTGCACACTACTCGTTTAGTTATGCAACTAAACAGTTGAGTTAGCTACGAAACAATTGATAATCGCACAATAACTGTATAGCTTAGTTTGTTATTGATGTAAAAATACTCTAAATGATATAGTGAAATACCACTTTGTACTTGATTGTACTTACTATGTCTTGTGTTAATATTTACGGTAAATTATTGGATGTCTTTACACAGTGTTATCTATACTTCTATACTATTATAATAAAGCGTTAACACACACTTCTTTGTTGCCTAAGATGTCAGCAATTACAGCATATTTTCGAATAACTTTTTTTTTATAAAAAGCCCTACGCTTACGTCACACTTTAGGCTATATATTTTCACGCCATTAAACTTAGGGGGCAAATGTTTTGGATATAAACCCTAATGTAGGAAAGATACCATAATATACTGCTAGCATCAAGGAAACAAGATTGCCAAGGTTTGTCATGTCATGTCAGTTTGACATTTGCTATTGATAATTTAACAAATGTAAACAATAAAATAAAATTTTTAGAATGTCATGCGGATGAAGCCGTACGGAAACAGCTATAAGATAATGTAGTAATAATAATATTAATCGAATAATATCGATATATTGTAATACACAGCTGTATTGATGTCTAAACGACGCTATCAACCCGATAACTGATCTAGAGACGTTAAACTAATTATAACTGAAATAGGTTTGGTCGAGAACGACCTCAATGTCACAGAATACTACCGCAGATTGGCAATTTCCACTGTCATAGTCTAGTTTTCGTGTGATGAAGGAATTTCTACGAATAAAGGAGCAATTTGCCATTTGTAGAAAATATTAATAGTTAATTTGACTTCTATTTGCTTACAATGTAAAACTGACGACTTAATAACAGACGTCAGTATATCAAACAGACACTGATAGTTAAAATGAGTAATGTAAAATTAACGAAGCAAACAAAGTCTAGATCATTTTCTCGACATTTCCTACAGTTTCTTTAAAAACAAACAGGTCTATTTTTAAAAAAATGTGGTTTTAATTAGAGTTTAAAAAAACAAAGACAATCAGGAATAGGTCTGAATTTAAAAGGCTCTGCTAATTGTGCTCGCCGACCGATTGCAAGTGACACTTGAGGGACGCTATTGACTTCGATTTGTCGCAGAGAAAAAAACAGCCTATCTGTTGCTGAAATGAAAGTTAAACAATGATTAAAAGAAAAGTAAAAAACATTTTGGTT